CAGATCTTCTGTGATCAATAACATGAATTTGTGAGCACTTTTTCACCACTAAAAGCAAACAGCAATTTCCTGAGCACCCGAGAAGCTCCCAGACTTTATGCAGTTTAAAAAACAAAAGGGAACAGAGCGCCACCTCCGTGTGTAAAATCGTTTATAAGGATAAATAAAACAAGGGATAAATGTACTCGCAAGCAAATGTTTTCATCACGCTTTAACAAACAAACAAGAGGCTACACTGTCTGTTAACCCAACATGGTATCACCCCGACTATGTACCATGGCTGCCTCCGGTCACATCACCATCCACCGGTCGCAGTCAGCCAAGATTGACTCGTTTCTGGGCCAAGCCCCCTTCATCAGCATCATGATTCGGGGTGACACATGTTGGGTTAACGGACAGTGTGGCCTCTCGTTTGTTAAAGCCTGATGAAAACGTTTGCTTGTGAGTACATTTATCCTAATAAACAATTTTACACACGGAGGTGGCGCTCTGTTCTTTTTTGTTTTCTATGTTCGTGGTGGAAGCCCCAGAGCCTTGGATGAGCAGCCCCTCAAGTCTGTGTGAAAAACTGTGATAAACTGTTGATAACTTTGATTATGCAACAGCAAGTGGATCGTTCAGCTGGCAGCCATTAGCACCAATAGTTAGGCCTTGTTCACACCAAGTGCAGAGCAGTTGCAGACCGGATCAAAACTGCGTCCAATGTATTCCAATGGTATTTTTTGCTCCAGTTCACATCGCTGCGTGCAGTTCCAGAGCAGGTGAAAAACTGCAGCAAGCCCTATTTTATCTGCTCTGGAACGCATGCAAGTGCATCAAAAACGCATGCAAATGCCTGAAACTCACTGAAAGCCCATGTTAAACTAAAAAATGTTTCCTTTTTTTTTAACCAAAAACGGCCAGGAACGCGGCAAAAACGCGGCAAAACTTACTGCACTGCATCTGCAGAAACCTGAGCGGATCTGCTCTGCATTTGGTGTGAACAAGGCCTTAAAGAAAACATTTTATGCAGTTTAAGTTTACCTTTTGGCTGCCCACACCTACTTATATATGCTCACTGTGAGTTACATTGGCTGTTAAAGTTTTGAACTAACATTGAGGGGCAAAAAGCAAGAGATATTGGGCTAAAGGTTTAACTTAAAGTGTAACTAAACACACAACCTTTTTTTTTTTTTTAGATAGGATAAAGTAGAGAGGGTTTAGAACACGTCAGGTTTTAATTGCTGTCTGTGTCCCCGTTAGGAAGATCCATCCTTGCTATTTCCCCTGGTGACCGTTATCACTGAAAGTGCATTAATAGAAATAGCTCTTCCAAGGGATTTCCTCTCAGTTCCTGCAATGGGTTTTGGACAGGATGTAATGAGAAATCTCCCCAATGGGACACAGGTGGCAAAGAAAGCTCGCCCTATCCCTCCCTTACGCGATCTAAAACTAAAAAAAGTTTTGGCTTCAGTTCTACTTTAAAGTAGAGCAGCAGGCAGATATGACACAAATACCGTTTTTCCCTGAATATAAGACACTGTCTTATATTTCTTTTGCCCCCAAAATGGTATGGTAAGAATTAGAATATTACTGTTGCTCTATTTCTTTTCCTACTGGCCAGTAAAGCAGATTCTGTTCTTTCACAGGCGGAGTGCATCTGGTATCACTCCGCCTGTCACAGTAACCGGCGCTATAGACGAAGTAGCGGCTAATGTGGCTCAGCTGCCGCTTTCTGCTTGCTTTCTACAGCGCCGGCTTCCTTTTCCATCAGGGACAGCGATACCAGCGGTGCAGCAGTGGGGACATCAGACAGTGGACAGCGCAGTAAAGTACATGCTACCACCAAACTCGGTCTTATTTTCGGGGTAGGCCTTATATTACAGGAATCTTGAAAAATAGTGCTAGGTCTTACTTTCGGGGAAAGCTCTGTATTCAATAATACATCTTTAAATGTATTTTCTTTATTGTCCATTGAGAGACACTGGAACACAGTATTTATTTTGCCATTTGAGTTATACTGTTGTCTACAGGAGGTTGGGACACTGGCAAACAAAAAATGTTCAGCCAGCTCCAGTATAACCTCCACTCCATGCATCCTCCAATTTTTTTTTTTTTTTCTAGTGTCCCAGGGTTTTTTTTTTTTTTTTACCTTAATGCATTCTCTGCATTAAAATACTGTCTTGCTAAGACTTTGCATCACTGATTAAACTCAGCATTTTAGTGCTAGTGTAAACTGTCACTAGAACAATGTGCCCATTGGAGGATTTCCCAAATATTCTCTTTCTCCTAAAAGCTCAGAATTTTAAATTTTCATCCATTTTCAGGACCTATTCATGCTACCCTGTTGCAAATAATGTACAAAAACTGTGGGCCATTCATTCATACAGATGTCTGTCCCAGGTGCATTAAGATGACATTTAGGAGTGGCTCCGCATCACACCAATGCATTTAAAAGAGAACTATGGCGTTAGGGCTTTTCTCCATAGTTCTCAGAAGGGTAACGGGAGGACACAAACTAGCGTCCTCCCGTTACCCAAAGCTCAGTATACTTAGACGCCGCAGCTGAAACGGATCCCGACAATTATGTCTGGATCCGCCCAGCTGCGTGAGTGACAGCTGTCTCTGCCTATCTAGAGGCAGAACCAGTTGTACCCGACCCCTCCCCGTCCATTCCGCCAGTCCGTGCTGGAGGATCGAACAGGGGAGGGGAGAATCCAGTCACTCCCCTGCCACGGCTCTCTGCCGTGACAGGATCGAGAAGTGAGCGAACGCCGGTATGTGTTCGCTCACTTCGCGATCTACTGAGCGGACCTGTGACAGTTTCATTGTCACAGGTCGGCTCAGATTATGAGGTTGAGTGAAAAGCACTAGCCTCATAATTCTCATTTAATGTGTACTGTGACTGCTGGTGTTTAAAAGAACAAATAAAACAACTTTGGGCTTTAGATGCAAAAAAAAATAATACTCTGAGCACTTTAGCATCCCTGAAATGGGAAAGCGCCTTTAAGGGAAAAACCTAAGTGGTTGGTAGGTGTAACATCTTTACAGTATATATGGAAATGAAGAAAAAAAAAAAAGTATCATTACTTGTGCCATCCGGTTTTGACCTTAGTTCATTAAATGTATTCTGTTTAACCACTATAGCAACATAGCACATCTGTTTGTCTATTAATTAATACGGCATTGTAAACCTAGTGTAGGCTAGCAATTATAAAGTGTCCTGTTCACTCCTTATTTCCGAGACACTATGATCGTCTACTCTACTGGATAAACATATTGGTGTTAATTCACTGTATTCCACACATTGCTAAGACACGTTGATGCACTGTTGACATTATTGTGGAATGTCCATATTATGTTGTGTTTCAGCCATGCATTAGTATGTTTGCAAAATAAGTGAGTGCCTTGCAAGCATACAATGTTCACATATCTTTGGTGTAAGAATAGACTTCACTTGTGGTAGTACTTTACTGTGTGGAAATGTTCAGCTATAGAAAAACCTGTCAAATCTAAATAGTTTTTGTAAGAAATAAAACAATTGGATCATCGTCAGCATGATAATAATAGAGTTAGAAATCCTGTTTGTTTGTTTTACAAACATTCCCTCTTTAATTCCGCTTTACTCCCGATCTCTTCTTCCCCTTTAAACCTTAACCACAATGTTTGCATCTCGCCATGGTTGACATAGTTTGGTTCACCAGATTTTTCTATGAAAGGACTCCTGAACACAAAGGTTTATCTTAGATGTTGTTAAAGCAACTAAAATTACAACCGTTGTGCTTTATTTAATCATTTAAAGGAAGAACTTTTCTTGTTGCTGATTGCAACTCTCATATGACCTTCTTCATGGTTTGACTGTAGTAAGCTAGAATAAGTGTACCTAATTGATCACTGTAGGCAAAAAGTATAGAACTAGTGTCTGTGCATTGCACTTCCTTGTACAATAGAACTTGGTGCACCATAACCACTATGGTGGTGTGTATTTGAATACACAAAATCTTGAGCTTAGCATCAGTAGGTGATATTAGAGAGTTACCATTTCCTGTTATGTTTGTTTGAAAATTGACGGTGGGCTGAACAAGAAAAGATCAGCTGTCATGGGCCCAGATATATATTTTCTATGTTGATGCAGTTTGTAGCCCTTTTTTTCCCTTACAGCAAAAATTAATCCCAAGGAAATACCAGGTACTTCTGGGTATAGAGGAGCAAGTGACTCACTCTGTGTGATAGCACTAGGCGAACCAGCTCACAGGGCGTCCATAGCCCTGAATCCACTATGATTCCAGAGACTCGAAGCTTACACCTGGCTTTTCTTTGACGCTTGGCAGCTGAATAAAAGACGGCGGAACAAAAGGAAGATGCTTGGAAGGGCAAAGCACAGGTTTAGTTTGGGTGTATGTAGGCATGTGGCATTGACCAATGGCTTATGTGCCTTAAGACTTTGGTGGTAGAGATCTCTGCTCCTTGCACCTGCCACATTTGCATCGCGTTTATAAAGCATGCAAAAAGAGGAACAAAAACTTCTTGCTTAGCCTGGTAACTGGTCATGACTAGAGACTGAGCAGAAAAATCTAGCAGGAGGATGTTTGAGTTAAAAGAGATATGAGAGGCCAAAGGGTGATTGTGCTTACTGACATCCACCCAGACTAAACTATTAGTTTCTAGTGGACTTCAAGAGGACCTTTACCCCCTTTTACTAAAAATCACAGCAGCATGCAGCTCTGCATGCGGACTTAAAATCATCTTTCATTCATTAGTTAAACAAACTTGTTTTCAATTTACTTACAAATAGAGTTAATCTACTTCTTGGTCCAGTTCTGGCACAAATGATATAAGTGCCAAAGTGTTGCATCCTGAGAAGGTTACATCAGTAGAGCATTGCTGGGAAATCTCATCTGTGATCTCATGAGGTCTCAGGGAAAGGCTTTCCCCCCCCCTGAGATGATGTGCATGGTCACAAGTCCTAGTCAATGTCTAGTTACATGTGAGAGAAATCCAGGAAGTAAAAGGAGAGCTAGTAACCTGCCCTTAGTAAACATGGCCAGAAGATGGCCAACAAAATGTGTGTTTGTTGTTATTGTAAAGATATGGGTAAAGGTCCATTTTAAGTCTACATTCACACATATCTTTAGGTGCGGTTTAGGGATTCCTGCATCAGAAACTTGCGATTTCCTGCTGCAGGAATCCCTAATGTTAATGATCGGGTGTCAGCCGCTGCATTTGAATGCCACCACACAACATGTAATTGTATGTGATACAATTCCATGCGGTTAGGAATCCATAACTGTGTGATTGATTGAATTAAAAAAAATCAAAGGGTGTAATACTACTTTAACCCCAGTCTTTGACTGGACAGTGAAAGCAGAAGCAGCACACTGATGAGCTCATTTCTCTTTTTATATCTGCTCTTACCATCTATCTGCATGCACCTTGCACTGCAGCACACCTGACTGGCTCCTTCTGACTGGAAAGTCAAGCGAAATTCAAGTAAATGTAGTCCAGCATGTTAGAAAATACTGCATCCTATGAGCAAAGAGCACTGCCCATCATTGACACCACTGCAAAGATTAAAGGCAGACTCCAAGCTAAAGAAAGGAGGGTTTGTGGAGCTGCAATGTTTACCTGGGTATCTTCTGATGACCCTTTCAGATAGCTGTCCTGGGGTTGCTTACACAAGAAAGTTGAATTAAAGGCTCCTGTATGACAGTCTCAATAAGTACCACTTCCAGTTACTATGTGAAGCACAAGTCTACAAAAGTGTAAAAAAAAAAAAAAACTTCCTTTACCCTCCCTGACTGAGACCAATTCTCCTTCATTTGTGTAATTTGTGTCATTCTTCTCCATCCAGACACTGCAACCTCCAGAGGAGGTGCTGCCAATCCAGAAAGCAGTTGGAAGGACTAAGTGTGGCTAGGTTCTGATTGACAAGCTACAGGCACATGACTTAGCAGTGATTAATGTTGATAGCCACACCCCCTGCAACATTCTGTCATTCCAGTGTAATGCAAGCAGGCACAGTCTACATGAGAGCGTCAGCTCTTCATTGAATTTGTGAGCAGTGCAGCATTGTTGCCACACCATCAAAGAAAGCTGCATTAGATGGACTTCAATGGCTGGCCAAAAATGTGGGGGACGAAGACAAAACTGTAAATGCAGATGCACTTATAATTAAATTATTATTATTTTTAATGGGAGGCCTTGATTCTACTTTAAATTATAGTTATCCTATAAAAAAAAGGCCATATTTACTCCCCATGTCACGCTGCGTATCCCGGTTCCTTTCTTTTTGAGAACCCATATTTTTCTTTAATCTTTGTACTGATGGCTGGATTGGCAGTGGCTGCTGTATGGCCTAGAGAGGTAATGCTTGGAGCAGAACATTTAGATAAGTGAATTGCAGGTACGATATATGGATATACTGTAAGTTTAGCTCTGTTGCATCCCACTTTTCCCATTTCTGTAGTCTGAAGTTCACCCTTAAAAAAGAAGTAAGTAAAGCCAAACTTTTCTTTTGGGTGACAGGAGTACATTCACTAATGTACTTGTTTTCCCTCATTTTTCACTTTAACCCAGATAGCATGACTTAATAAATCGGCTTTTGGACATTTCTGGAGGTAGCCTGCAACAGCAGTTTCTCCGGGACAGATAAATAAGACTGTTAACATACCTTTTATATCACCATTTAAATGTAGGCACAATTTAACTTAAACATTTACTTTATGCCCACTGGTCCCTTTTTACTATGGCCTTTAAAAATAAATAAATAAGTAAGTAGTAGTCATCTAAATCTTTGTCTCCTGTAGCTTCTGCTTTTCAGCTGTGGCAAGGGCAGACTCTATGTTAGCCAGAAGTGCTAGTTGGTTGCCCAGACAATACAAGTGGAGCAATAACCAGCAGGGGCCCCACACAAGGAGAAAGAAGCAAGAGGGACCTATAGTCAGTTTTTTAATTTTGGTCTACTTCAACACCTTTTATACATTTTAGTTATCTTCACAGTACATCTGGAACTACATCCAAATCATTCTTGATAACAAACCAGATACCTTTTTTTACCTTTTATAAATAGTGTAGGCATTTTGTATGTTTTAATTGTGTTCTTTTTCCTCTTTTTTTCAGAAAGAGCTATCGGGACATAAAAATATTGTTGGATATATAGACTGTGCCATTAACTCTACCAATGATAACGTCTGGGAGATCCTCATCCTAATGGAATATTGTAGAGGTAATTTTTGACACATACTGTATTCAAATATAACTTTAAACATATGCTAGTTGTGCAGTGATTACAGTGCCAGTTGCTGAACAAAAGTGTAGATGTGTCATTGGACAGGGTGGTGACTGCAGCCTGTACTTATGTCTCCTGGAGGAGGGCACGAGGTAACCATAGCATAATGTGCAAGTATGTTGTACATACTTGAGCCTGGGGTCTGGTGCAGACCTGGGCAACCCTATTGATTTCAAAAGAGAAGATGTGGCATTGGACAGGGTGGTGACTGCAGCCTGTACTTATCTCCGCTGGAGGAGGGCATGAGGTAACCATAGCATAATGTGCAATTATATTTTACATACTTGAGCCTAAGGACTGGTGCAGACCTGGGTGACCCTATTGATTTCAATGGGGTACATCCGCGTGGCAATCGCAGAGAAAAGGTACATGTACTTTTTTTTCCGTTACACGATTCCGCGGCTGCTTTAGCCGCAATCGTGTTTGGGTTGCAAGGGCAGAATCGCGGCGGGAAACCGCGCAATCCGCCCAGCATGACTGGGGTGCCATTAGAAAATAATGACACCGCCAGCGCGATCGTCAGTGGTGGGCGACTCCATGACCGCACGGCAATCCCCATGGTATCGTGCACGATTGACACGCGGTCACGGATCGCTCGGGTATGAACCTGGCCTCATGGCATGTGCTCACTCCCACAGAGCAGAATTTAGTTCCGCTTTAAGTTTAGAAGTTTAAGTTTAAGAAGTTTAAGATCGACTATATACAAGCAATATACTGCAAGCATTTTCAATAACTTTATTATTCTACTTACCTTCTGTGCTTGATGCCATCAAGTGTTGCATCTACCTTGTCAGGGGTGTGGAATTCCTATCGCCCGACGCCCGGGACATGCAGTTTTGGGCGCCGGGCAAGTAGTTTTAAAGTACATTCAGCCCGGCTCCGGACAAGCAGAGCTGAATGTACATTGTGGAGCCACCACCGCTCATTTAATACAAGTGGTCTGATCAGACCACATGTATTAATTTTAGCAGCGGCGATCGTTTCTGCCCGCACCCCCCGCCGTAGTTTTCGGGGTCGCCCGCTCTCCCGGGGGACCCCGAAAACTAAGGCACAACGGCTCAGCCATAGAGCAGACGAAAAACGTCTGCTCTACAGGCTCTCTGTGTGTTCTCTGAGATCGTGGCGCTGTAATCACAGCGCCACCTGTCTCGGCTGTCAGGAACTACACGGAACAGCTGTTCTGTGTTGGAGGGCAGGTTCCATAAAGAGAACCTGTCACCTCCCAACTATCACATAAGGGATTTTAATCTCCTATGTAATAGGAAGAACATTAAGGGGGAAAAATAAATCAATAAAAAGTTAAAAAAATTTAAATATATAAAGATTTAAAAAATGAAAAAGTAAAAAATAGAAATGAAAAAGTAAAAAATAGTGGCTTCCTGATTGACCAGGAAGCAGGTTTCCCGGCCAATCCAGCAGGCCAAACAACATGGAGCCAGCTTCCGTGGCAATCGGGAACCTGGGCGGGATGTCATTACCTGCTGCCCGGTTTCCTGATTACCAGGGAAGCCTGCTCTACGTCAGCGGAAGCACCGGTATTAGTATTCAGTGTTGGCGAGATCCGAAAGCAAAAGCAAAAAATCGGTACTCGTACTCGATACCGAAAAACCGGTATTGGTGCATCCTTAGTTTTGATTAAAACTATTTTTTGTATTGGGACAAGTAGATTGTCGTGAAGGACAAGTAGATTTGGCCCCCACTTTAGCCCTTGGACATGTAGTTTTTTTAAAAATTTCCACACCCCTGCTTGTATAGTCACATACTCAATACCACTGTTGTATGTAGAAACATTTTACTCTCAGCATCCATTTAGATGCATAGTATTCATTGCTAGCATGTTACCGAAAATGAAACCTAAAGTGTGGGGCTTTGCATAGTGTTACTTAACTCCAAGCTCTGTAAGCTTAAAAGAGAACTAAGGGGTAACCTTTTTATCCCATGGTTCTCTTCAGGGTCACGGGAGGACATATACTAACCTCCTCCCATGACCCAAAGTGCAGTATATCACGTGCCATTGCCTGCGATATACTGAGACCAGCGCAGCCGGTATACTGTCAAGATCCACCCAGCTGCTTGAGTGACAGCTGGCTCTGCCTATCTAGAGGCAGAGCCAGCTGTACCCGCCCCCTCCCCGTCCGTTCCTCCACTCAGCGCTGGAGGATTGGAGAGGGGAGGAGGGAATCCCTGCAGGGAGCAGTGACTGATGGTCACCGCTATCTGCAGGGAGATGATCTGGAATTGAGCAGATCGGTGCATGTTTCTGCTCACTTCCCAATCAATAGAGCCGACCTGTGACAGCTTCTTTGTCACAGGTCGGCTCTAACTATGAGGATGAGTGGAAATCACTCACCTCATAGTTCTCCTTTTTAAAGCGACACAAAACACTCAGTTTTTTTTCTCCCTATATACATCTACACAATGAACATTCTCCAAAGAAAATAAAGTCTTACTATTTTAATCCCTTTAGAAAGTCTGCTGTGCTCGCTCCCGTTGCTCTTCTCTCCGCTCACACTTCCTGTCACTTAGTAAGAGCCGTGCACGTTGATTCTGGTCACACACGTGCACATCTTTCTTTGCCTACAACTCCTATGAGGCAGAGGGAAATCATCTATCCCTGCACACAGCTGCCTCCTCTCCCCTCCCCCTCCGTCTCTTCACTAAACACACTGTGACAGTTTCAATGCTTGTAATCTCCTCTGCAATGTTCTGAATTATCAAAATTACTTACAACAAATCTACAACAATCAATCAAGTTTACAACACTCTACATAGAAAAACAACTTTATTTCAAATGTAGGAGCTATATCCTCCTATGAGAGTGTGACCAGATTCAGCATGTGAGGTGAGACTCAGAAGAAAGTATGAGCCTGGTGGCAGCTCACATGCTGAATCTCCTCTCCTTCCCCCACACTCCCTTCTTGGTAAGCTAGGAGGAGAGAAATCAAAGGACGTATATTAGTGTCGGCGCGTTGAAGAAATCCCAGCTCCTTGCAGAGTGTAGAGGGAGGATTTGTAGGCGGAGACTGAGAAGACACGCCCTCAGCATGTTGTAGTCCTTCACATGAACCAGCACAGAGGGCGGCTACTTTTCAGCACACATAGGGACCATGGAGAAGAAAAGTAGCCACTCTCTGGAAGGAAGTTGTGGCTGGAGAAACATAAAATGGATTTTGAAGCATTTAGAGCTGAACAATGACAAAGAAAGGTACACAGTCATTTGTTATTTATATAATAGAAGTTATTTAATTATTTAATTTCTGAGTTTATTGTCACTTTAATACAGGAGAAACAAGATAGGAATTACAGGAAATCAGTTCAGTGTCTCAATTTTTTTTCCCCTCCAAATCTTGGCTAGCTTCAGATTAAAATGGAAGAGTATTTTGTAATAACATTAAGTCATAGTCACATTTGAGGAAACTGGAATTTTCCTTTAATCTTATGAGCTGTTTCCACCAGGCATCTGGGAAGAGCTTGTGACTGATTACTGTAAAGGCAATATAGTTTTTCAAAGCTGTCCATATTATAGTTTGCTTGAAAATACCACAAAACTTCAATTTTGCCTAGGTTCTATGGTGAATTGCATGACTGTCAAATGTATTTGGAAATGTTTTATGTAAGGCAGAATAGTGCATCACCTTTTTTACTAACTATTTTGGGCTTAATTTGTATTTGACTTTGTTTTTAATGTATTTTCTTCCATAGCGAGGAACTGCATTAATTATACAGGTGAAACTCGAATAATTAGAATATCGTGCAAAAGTTCATTTATTTCACTAATGCAACTTAAAGGTGAAACTAATATATGAGATAGACTCATTACATGCAAAGCAAGATAGTTCAAGCCGTGATTTGTCATAATTGTGATGATTATGGCTTACAGCTCATGAAAACCCCAAGAACCCCAAATCCACAACCTCAAAAAAGTAGATTATTACATGCAATCAATAAAACAAGGATTGCACATAGAACAATATCGGACCTCTGAAAAGTACAAGCATGCATATGTACTCAGTACTTGGTTTGGGCCCCTTTTGCAGCACTTACTGCAATTACTTTTGCACGATATTCTAATTATTCGAGTTTCACCTGTATTTTGTGACATAATGCTCATGTATTAAACTCTGGAAGTTGTGCCCAAAAAAAGGCAGGTGTTGGGCAAAAGACTAGTCATGGTATTGCCTGTGAGCTTCAAGCAGCTGATCTTTTCACCATTACTGGGTGTCTTGGGGCAGCCTTACTGGTAGAGGCAGGGCTTTCTCTCCTCATTTTGGAGCCTCTAGCAAGGAGAAAATTGAGCCGCACAGTAGTGACATCACCAAAACATAATCTCTTAGAAGTGCCTTAGATTCACACTGCAGATCTACCACTATGAGGCTGTAGGGTTAGGAGTGCTATCTAGGCGCACACACATGCCGGGACCTGCACTGCTAATTTTCAGGAGGAATTTAAGACAAAATGTACATTTTTCAGGGAACTGCTTAGTCACAGCACTTGGACGTTGCCTAAAACATATTAGATCTTCACTTTTTCAGAGTTCAGTTCCACTTTAAGATTTCCAGCAGTACATGAAAATGTTTAATACGAGTCAAAATCAGTCACTTCTTTAATATGTTGGGATTGGAGGCAATATGCCGCTGGTGTAGTTCCCATCTCTGCTTCCCTTGGCCCCCTCTCCAGCTTAGAAGCTCTCTTATATTGCAGCTTGGCAGAGACGTCCCCAGGGCGGGTCATGTCGCACACGCTTGAGGCCATTATGCAAGCACGTGACGTCATCTCGCACGTGTGTAATGACGTCACGTGCACTTAACTGCCGGTGACCATCTTGGTGATGGACGCCAGCAAAGAGAGGAGGGGATGTTCATCCGGCAGGATAATGTATGCCGCCAAGTTCCCTCTCTTGCGCAGCTGTCAGACACTCGGTCTATGACAGAGTGCCCGACTTTTCAAAGGGGGTGACACCAAAATGGCTGACTGTCATTTTGGTATCCCCTAGTGCGCCCCCTTGTGATGCCTCTGCAGCTTGGAAAGTGTCACTTCTTGTATATTGTCTGTCGTAAATTAGTCTAAATGAGAACTCTTGCAGATAGACAGCCTGGAAACTTAAGTGTACAGGTTTTGTCAGTGGAGTTCCTGACAAAAAAAAAAAAAAAAGATGAAAAATAATTTAACCAAACTCTACCACAAATTTGGATTTCAGTTTTTAGTGGTGTCTGAATATATCTGATACAGGCTTTTGTGTTTGTGGAAATTGACTGTGCAGTTCTGTTTTGAAATTAATTTTGTTTGCCAGCTGGACAAGTCGTGAATCAAATGAATCAGAGGTTACAGTCTGGGTTTACTGAGGCCGAGGTATTGAGGATATTCTGTGACACATGTGAAGCAGTTGCAAGACTTCATCAATGCAAAACTCCAATTGTACATCGAGATCTAAAGGTAGTTTTCTTACTTTCTATCTTAAGTTGCATATACTGTAGCCTAACACACATGTCTTAACATATGACGGCATTGACCTTGTATGGCTTTGTGCATATATTTGGTAAATTACATTTACCTAATATCGCTATGTACCCATATTAGGTAAATTATTATTATCATACAGGATTTATTTAGTGCAGCACTTTACAATATAAGGAAGACATTAAAGTTACAATACAAATCAAGACAAGATGGTAAGGAGGGCCCTGCCTGTGATCTGCCATTTACAAGTGGCAGCTGTCACCCATTCAAGTTATTGATAGGGTGACAGCTGTAGCATTTAAAAGCAGAAGAATGCCAGCACACCCCATGCCGTACGTGATTACATGCAGTTAGGAATCAATCACTAGTGCAGAATCAATCAATAGTGATTGATTCCTAAATGCATGCAACTGTATAACATATGATTTACGTGTGGTGTGCTGATGTTCTGCCGCTTTCAAATGAAATGGCTGTCACCCAATCATTAACTTGAATGGGTGACAGCTGCCTCTTGTAAACGGCAGACTAGGGATTCCCGCTGCAGGAAATCACAATTTCCTGATGCAGGAATCCCTAATCGCACCTAACATATTGGTGTGAATGGAGCCTATAAATTTTACAGCAAGATGAAAATTTACGTTTATAATATTTTGTGAATAGATGCTGGTAGAACCAAATCATTTAAAGAGAAACAGCGGATGTTTTTTTCTCTATTGCAGAGACCGGAAACAGAGTTTTTTTTTTTATTTAAGAAGTAGAAAAATTAATTTTATTTTGAGTTGGCATATTCCCTTCAAGCAAATATGTTAGAATGTTTTTGTTGAATGCAAGAAAAATTGCTATGGGCATTTGATATGCATTTACATTGAATAAAAGGAGAAATAAAAGCAGGGTGCAAACTAAACTATAAAGTGTATGTATAGTCAACATTTTTGTAGTGAAGGGTTAAAACTCTCTCTATCTTTAGTGAAATTTCCCCTAACTTCTGTCCCAGGGACACAACAGGAAGTTAGAGGAAATCTATCAAAGTGAGGGTGATTTCTTTCTTAGACTGCTGTCTCTAGAACAGTTGTCCTCATTGGAAGGTTTATCCCTACCTTTTTGTTCTGGGGACATCTCTAAAATTTGCATATCGCCTCACTTTCTTTCTCAGATAACTCTTCCACACTAAATCCAAAACTAAAAAAAAAAAGGCTTAGATTATAGTTTAAAACTATTAGGAAACTGATAAAATACAGGGCTGCCATTGCTGTTCTCCTTTTGAAATCGCTGATATGTTGATAGAAAGGCTTTTTGAGTCGCTGACACAGAACAAGTGTGTAGAGAACGACTTCTTAAAGTTAGAAAATGTGTAAATTAGGGAAATATTTCACTGCACATGAAATGTATAAAATCACTAATTATATACATCACTTGTGGTTGTGATTTTTTTAAAAAGGTTCTCATCTGTGTACGGCAGCATATGAGATTTGTTGTTCTTTGTCTTCAAGGTTGAGAACATTCTGTTAAATGACAGCGGGCATTTTGTACTCTGTGACTTTGGTAGTGCAACAAACAGATTTCTAAGCCCTCAAAGAGATGGAGTAAGCATTGTAGAAGAGGAAATTAAAAAGTAAGTAAACAACCTTTATCGTCCTCAGGGCAAAACAGAGTTTACTTGTTTTTTCTTTTTTATATGTAGACTTTTCATAAAGTGCAAATACAAGAAAACTTGGAGTGTAACTTGAAAACGTTCTTTGACATTCCTTCTTCTCAATGGAATCCCAGTCACGCTACAAGGGACGCGATAGCCTGAAAACAAATATTTCTTAATATGTGTAGGCACCTTAACATGGTTTTACAAACTTTGCTTTTAGATCACGGATTTTTGGTTGGCACATATTACTGTACATGTACAAGTTCGCCAGCTGTGTCAAAGTGATCAATTCGTGGCCAGTCCCAAGTCTGTCAGCAAAATGGCAGATACCTTAATGAGCATTGTGTAATTGAAGGACAACTTCACTGTGCCCTGTAATAATATTGCAACCAGTTAGTGGAACCACAGTACTGTGAAAAGGGGGGCATGGTATACAGTACCAGCAATGATATTAAAGGAGAAGTGTTGGGAGAGTAAAATTTACTCTTCCCATTACTTAGAGCTGGAGTGTGACACTGCAGGTGCCACATGTCAACTCTATAGATTGAGTGCTGAGCGATCACGAACTGCTGATCACAGTCTTCTCCCTGCAGAGAGCATTGACTGTCCGTCACCACTCCCCCCTCGGTTCCTCCAGCAATCATTGGAGGGACAGACAGAGGAGGGGGCGGGCACAGCTGGCTCTGGCTCCAGAGAGGCAGAGCCAGCTGTCAATCAGGCAGCGGGGTGGAGCCTGACCATATTCTTAGGATTTTTCTTGGCTGCAGCACGTCTCTGCCCTGCGTTTGTTTGATACGTGATGTGCTAGAGCAGTGGTTCTCAACCTGGGGGTCGGGACCCCTTCGGGGGTCGAATGACGATTTGCCAGGGGTCGCCTAGGGGCTTCTGGCCACCCAGAAGAGAAGCGCTTTCTCTGCTCTTCTTTTTTTTTTTCTGACATCGGTCCCGCCGTCAGTCAGAAAAAAAACAAAAAACTTTCTCATCGAGCAGACTAAACCTTTCCAGGAGAACGTTTTTTTTTTTTTTTCCGCACAGTGAGAGGGTATAGCAGTCTTCCCCTCTCACCTGTCACAGAAGTTCCAGCACAGTGCTGTGCTAGAACTGTATTGGAGGTGACAGGGTCAATCCTCCAATTGCTATTACACAGTGGCTTGTTACCTCTGTGTGATAGCAATGACGTTAAGTGGAAATAAAATAGATACAATTATTAAAGAAATAAAAATAAAAGAATAAAAAAAATAAAAAAAACGATTAAAAAGAAATAAGAAACAAATAAAAAAAATAAGAAAATTATAAAAAAATTAACAATAAGGTAAGAGTTCTCCTAGCGCAACAGTGTCAGTTCTCCCCCCACGCCGCTAGATGTCGCTGCAGCAGCCGCGTCATCCCTAAATTTTACTGTTGGGGGTCACCACAACTTGGCAAATGTTACCAAGGGGTCCCGGCCCTAGAAAGGTTGAGAACCAGTGTGCTAGAGGGATGTGACCAGCAATGAATGCACAGGTAACCCTCTCCACACTACTACATGGCCCAACACACTTCTAGCATGCTTTGCATTTAAAGAGATCTTCTTCCTAGATAGACATTCTGTATTAGTCCAGACTCCCTCATATCATGCAAGCCAGATGTGCACTTAAGTAGGCTCATATTGTAGAGCAGTTCAGTCATGTGACCCCCTGATATTCATATTACAAATTAATGCAAACAAAGGTGCAGCAGCTAAATGGTTTTAAAATAACTACCCGTGCTGCTGGCCTGTGTGTGCAAGGCTACTCTGTTCTGCTCTTTGAGTCAATAGTGGTGGCACTGGAGAAAGGTCATGGATTAGTGGAGAGCAGCACCTGGGGTGACAGAAGCAAAGCTCCGAAACTCTCGCACGTGTTGGATTAATTTGTAAATTGTAACACTGATAATATCAAAGAGAAAAATGTTTTAGCAAGGAAGTAGGGAAATCGATAAGTAGTAATACTGCTATAAGGCTTCAACTTTTCCGCTGCCACTGATGTACTGTATGTCATACATCGATGGCAGCGGACCCTTTTCAACAGAATCCCAGCAGCTATAGCTACCGGGTCTCTGGAAGCGATTCTGGCAAAAGCTTCTTAGTGGTGTCTGAATATATATTTTAGTACCTTAAAGAGTACCTGCCACCACTAGTATGCTATAACATAGTCCAAACTGGCTAACTGCAGTCAAAGCTGTTCAGAGCTCAGTCTTCCCAGCATGTGAGATAAATTGGTTGGTATTAAATGGATTGTTATGAAAGATGCTAACCTGAACGGTAAAAAAAAAAAATGTGCAGGCGGCAGTCAATGGGAAGGGTGGCAGTCGTGTTATTGACAGTTGTAAACAGTGCTAAAGCTTTCTTATCCGAAATCTAAGATTGTAGTTTGGATACGAGTACAAGGGACTGTTGACAGAAAAGAAATGATAAATGATGAAAGTTTACAACTGGGAGCTGACAATGCAGGTGGATAAAGACAAAGTTGTACGTGTTGTAAACAGAGATAAAGTAATATACCATGTACGTGAAAGTTACATTGACTGGATCATATATTTGCATGTTTACAAACTGAAACTGAACGCCTATTTCTTTTGTCACTTTTTCTAAAATGTGGATGACTGAAAGTGAAAAGACCATTGTTAGTCATATTGTGTAATTTCCGATTTCCAAAGGATCTATTCACACCTTGCGTTTAGATGCTTTTAACTGCAGTCAGTTTAGTTGTGTTTAGAAAAAAATAGAAGTCTGGTGTGTCCAGGAATTGATTTGAACTTCTAAATGCATGTAAACTCAGAGACGCATTTATTTGCAGAAATCCCACTGAATACTTAATGGACTGTTTCAATGGACAGATGCGTGTAAATGTGCATAAATACATGCCATTGTAAGCATCTAGAGCCATAAACAAAGCATGTAGCCTGACAGATTTTACAGACAGATCTCTGCTTAAAATGCAAGTGTGAACGAAGCCCAAATTACATTTTCATCTTGGAAATGGGTGACTGCATCTGTTTTTGTAGGACATATCTGAACGCCCAGTGTTTTCCGCTGTTTTGCATGTGTGTTACATGTGCTCAAGAGACTTGGTTTACTGTAAAGATCTTCTTTGAGATTGTATATTTGTAGTCATTGCAAAATCATGCTTCTTGACTACAACGAAGCTCCTGCTGCCTTGCATAGTATACAAACTACTTTATTAAAAGAGAACTATAGGGGTAACCTTTTTATTCCATAGTTCTCTTTAGGGTCACGGGAGGACATATACTAACCTCCTCCCATGACCTAAAGCTCAGTATATAGAGGGCAATATACTGAGAGCACCACAGCCGGTGCGGATCCCGACAGTACCGTCAAGATCCACCCAGCTAGCTGATTGACAGTGGGCTCTGCTTATCTAGAGCCAAAGGCAGCTGTGCCTGCCCCATATTGTTTATTGTGTGCCAGTGAATTTTCACCATATTCACTAAGCTAAGTGAAAATTTCCTTGCAAAGTGAACAGCCTATTTGCCTTTAGTTGTTCTCAAGCCCATAGAGATACACCACCAATAACCTTCTAAAAAAGTAGTAGATTTTATTAATTACACCATTAATACCTTGCCAATAGAGCACAGCATTGAAACCCACAATATCATTAAAAGAGAACTATGGGGTAAGTGTTTTTCTCCATAGTTCTCTTAGGGTCACGGGAGGACATATACTAACCTCCTCCCATGACCCAAAGTTCAGTATATCATGTGCTATTGCCCTGCGTGAGTGACAGCTGGCTCTGCCTATCTAGAGGCAGAGCCAGCTGTGCCCGCCCCCTCCCCATCCGTTCCTCCAGTCAGCGCTGGAGGATCCGAGAAGGGAAGGGGGAATCCCTGCGGGGAGCGGTGAGCGACAGTCACCGCTCTCTGTAAAGGAGATGATCTGGAAGTGAGCGAGCGATTGTATGTGTTCGCTCACTTCCCAATCAATAGAGCCGACCTGTGACAGCTTCTTTGTCACAAGTCGGCTCTAACCTGAGGATGAGTGGAAATCACTCGCCTCATAGTTCTCCTTTAATTCTCTACCACCACTCTAAGCTGTAAGTGCAGAATCAGTATGGCATGAATATAACCAATTTGTTAAGCCTACTTCACATGTCTTTCTACAATTAATAAAAATTATCTAGTCTAAAGCAGGCAGATATCTTTTGGAAAAAGCTTTGTTTGTATTATCATTGATAGGGTATATACATAATTGTAAATCCAGGTATTCAGAATTAGCATGATATTAATCACATAATTGACAACCACATGGTTGCCCCTATAGTAGTTTGACTTGATAGGTCCCTTTGTATAAACATTGGGTATAAACAAAATAATAAATTCAAGTATTCAAATTAACATGATAATAATCACACAGTTGACAATAAGGTGGACAACAACATGATTGCCCCTAAAGTGGCTTAACTTAATAGGTTCCGACGCGTTTCGCCAGTGGCTTCATCAGGGGACCTACAAGAGATGGATCTAACAGTAAATAAATTCCTTTGTTTAGACATACATTAAATTTACAAACATCTATAATCAGGCAGTGTCAGATTTGTATATGTGGTCTCTTTTGAACAATTTGTTACATGCATTTACTCTCCACAAGTCATGTCATTGAGTACTTACCATGCAGGGCTAATTTGTGAGGTAAGAGAGATACCTGGAGGATCGAGAAGGCGGAAGCCAAAAGGCCCCAACAGAACCTCCACAATCTCCTTTTTAGTCACACCCGGGACCTGAGGGCTACACGGAGAGAGACGGCACCCAGCCGTCCAGCCAATCACACCGGCAGGCGTTATTAACGTTGATGTATATTGGGAATAAGGCCGGCTGGATAATGGTGTAATCCTATTGGGTCTCCCTGTTGGATGAAAGGAGTAGGGCATATATGTAATAGTTGTCATCCATTAGCCTGCCATACTATTAGTGTGGATCCTAGCATCTAAGAAAACCAACAG